ATATTTTCTTAGGCATAAAGGAAAGGTTTGCTATGTGTTCAGTCTCAACTCCTTTTATTTTCAGTTTACTTTCTACTTTAATGCAGCAAACAGCAACAGCAAGCATGCAGGAATGACGTGGCTTCTCCAAGTTACTGGAGAACAGTTCTTGCATATGTCTCTTAGGCACCTGAATGACTCGTAAACTTCAGCCTAAAAGACCCTATATTTATATACATTTGAGAGGTTGCAAGATGCTTATTAACCCTGAAAAATCCTATTATTTTCCCTTAGCCTGGTTTTGTCTGGGGTAGAGTTAGTTATCCTCCTAGTAACTGGTATAGTGCTGTGTTTTGGATTTAGCATGAGAATAATGCGATAACACACTGATGCTTTAGTTGTAGTTATTGCTAAGTAGTCCTTATACTAAGTCAAGAACTTTTCAGCTTCCCATACTCTGACAGCGAGGAGGTGCACAAGAAGCTTTGAGGGAGTATAGCCAGGACAGCTGACCCAAACTGGCCAAAGGGCTATTCCGCACCATATGATGTCATGCTCAGTATATAAGCTGGGGGGAGTTGGCTGGCGGGCAGTGATCGCTGCTCGGGGACTGGCTGGGTGTTGGTCAGTGGGTGGTGAGCGGTTGCATCACTTGTTTTTCCTGGGTTTTGTTCCTCTGTCTCTCTTTTGTTGTTTTCCTTTGCATTACAATTTTATTATTATTTATTTTATTTTATTTTATTTTATTTTATTTTATTTTATTTTAATTATTAAACTATTCTTATCTCAACCCACAAGCTTTCTCACTTTTACCCTTCTGATTCTCTCCCCCCTCCCACTGAGGGGGAGTGAGCAAGCAGCTGTGTGGCGCTCAGTTGCCAGCTGGGGTTAAACCATGACACCCTGAGCTTTTATTAGTTTGCATTTGAAATAAAATAGGGCTGCCATCTTTAAATGTTTGAAATCTGTGTCAGCCTAAACTGGGTAGGAAGAGATTACTCATTACCTATAATTTGAACGACTTCCTACTAGTGAAAACATAGGCACTGGCTGCAACCTGAGGAGTTATTTGAGACTCTGTATCAGCTAAAGGTGTATAATGGCTGGGGTCTTTTTATTGTTTGGAATACCTTGTCGCGTGACACCATATGATACCCCTGCCGAGGTGAGCAGCTCTGGTGCCAGCACGATTGGCAGCGGAGCGCTCTAGCATAGTGCGCAGGGGGATTTCCCGAACGAGTGGAACCTCAGGGGAGCAGAGGGACCCGCCAGGAGCCCACAGCTCATGCTACAACGGCTGACGAGACCTGGGCATGTCCAGGAACAACGGTGGCCAAGCCTCCTCTGTGTATAAAATAAGCCCTTAGGGAGTGCGAGCGACCATGAGCACTGCCAACAGGGCATGGTGCATCAGCAAAGGCGTAGCATGGCAGTTTGCGTGACAGTTTGCGTAGCAGTTTGCGTGGAAGGGTGTGCAGAAAGGGTGCTGAAGCTCTGCCAGCTTGACCAGGGAGCAATGGTATCCACCCGGCAGAAAGCCACGGCCTTTCTAAGTTCTGCACCCACCACAACTGATGCAGCTTCCCAGACAGAGTTCTGGCAGGAACACGCTGCCACCCAGGTGTCAGGCTGCAGGGTGTGCCCTGCTCTTATGCCAGTATCACATGGCAGCAGCGAGCACACCTGTGGGAGGTGCGCCCAGGTAAAGGAACTCCTCCGCTTAGTGACAGAGCTCCAGGAGGAGGTGAGGAGGATGAGGAGTATCAGGGAGTGCGAGAGAGAGAGACTACTGGAATTGCACCCTGCCTTCCCTGAGACAGGCCCAACAGGCAGACAGGACGCATGATACAGAGGATTCCCTATTCTCTCTCCGCCTGGCTGAACACATTGACTTAAGGGTTAGGGGGCAATGGCAACAAGCTCCTGCCCGGCACAGCAGGCGCATCTCCTCTGTGACTGCCCCACCGTCCCAGGTGCCCTTGCATAACAGGTATGAGGCTCTGCAAGTGGAACCAAACCGTAATGAGGATGACGGTTCACCTAGCTTGGAGGTGTCGCTGAGGTTAAGTCAGCCTATGCCCTGCATGAAAACTGCTTCCATAAAGAAAAAAAGACAGATCGTTGTCATAGGAGACTCCCTTCTGAAGGGAACAGAAGACCCAATATGCAGACCGGACCCACTTCTTAGGGAAGTCTGCTGCCTCCCTGGGGCCCGGGTAAAAGATGTGAAGAGAAAGCTTCCTACCCTGGTACGGCCCTC